CAACCAACTTCCAGTTCTAAACCAGAATGAAGTTTGGATTAGTAGATCTATAGTAGATAAGTATAGTAGATAACTATCTATAATAACAAGTCTGAAGCCTTTCAAAGGATACTACAAAATTAGCTCCTCAGCTGTCTTCCTGAAAAGCCTGAGTAGAAAGATCTTGACAGGCCGATTCTTTCAGAGTGTTTGGACAACGCTTCCATTGGTGTTCCAGTGGAGGTTATTTTGAGGGGCTCGTGCTGTCAGCTGTTGTCTTGAGTCCTTTTGGACCCTCCTTACCTCTCTCTTTCACTCTGATAAAACTGTGGACTGGCTGGTTCATTGTCCTCCTTTTCTATTCAACCCCGAACAGACACGTGTAGGGTAAGTCTTGAGCTGTCCTATTTTATTTAACTTTAGTTGATGTTGAGCTGAATGTCACCAGTGTGTCTTTGAGAAACTTTTGGTTGGATTTATTTGACTGTACATTTTGTTTCAGTCATTATAGTGTGGTTTCATTATTATGATTAAGTAATATGAAGACAAAACCAATGTGCTTATGTGCTTCACTGTTAGCCTTGTTTAGATGTAAACTGATGTTTAGAATAGTTATAGTTTTTTCCACTTTGTGTAAAACTGCTACCATTGACATCAGAGTGTACGTGGTTAGAATAAGAAATAGCTTGTCCATATTTAGAGGGTCCAAAAATAGCGTGTGGCTTCACAACAGGTGCCATGTTGCTGAAGGAGGAGGAATGATGGGTGAGGAGGAGGGGTGGATGCATGCACATGGGGTTTGGAATGGGGGCTATAATTTTAACCTGATAAGCAACAGAGCTTGGACATAAACAACCTCTGGAATCTCAGAGTTCATTCCACATGAAATCAGCTGTGTAGAGCTGAAGGGCTTCAGGCCTGGCGTTATCAGTGACACATCAGATTTAGAGGCTCAGCGATACTCTGCCACTGTGATTTGTGCTATTTTCTCCACACCCCGTCCTCTAGCCTTCTGTGTCACAAGCGGCTTTTTACTGTATTTTTGATCAAATAAATGCAATATATTTGTGAGCATAATACATAATATAAATATAAACACACACACACACACACACACACACATACACACACATACACACACACACACACACGCATATATACATATATATATAAACATATTTAGAAATATTAACAAAATATCAGTACATGTAAAAAATCAAAACAAGACAAAGAGATAGATATAACTAATTAAATTGGCCATCGTTATTGTATAGACAAATTACTTTACATTTCCCTTCAGTTATTTCCATTTTTACATTTCTGCAATTATTTATTTTTCAAGGTCACTTCTCTATTATCCGTATTGTTTCTGCCTAAGGCAAATACATTAATCAAATTTTCTTTAATTTCCCCAAATTTAAATTCCCATTTCTTACAAACAACCTCATGCATATCGAACATAAATTCCCTCTATTTATGCAAACATACCACAAACTGGCCAAAAGCCATCCGTCTTCACTTTAGTGGCTGGTGATTTCAGGGAGTCATTTCAAACCTCTCTACAAGTAATGCATAATCACTTCTCATTAATTTCAACAATCTCATTTCAGCATCAAGCTAAGAGTGTAATCAAGGAATTGGCTGTACCTCTGCTAATCAATCTGCTTTCTTATGAAGCACTTTTATGATATATTTAACTTGATTTTTGCAGCATATGATGGAGGGCAGTGACCAGACCTCTGAGAACGCCAATGAACAAGTCAATGACCCTGAGGAGCAGCCAGTGGACCCCATGGAGGACTTCAGCCGGCAGTTAGAGGATATAATCAACACGTATGGAGCGGCATCGAGCCTGATGCAGGAGCAGATCTCCATCCTGGAGTCTGAGGAGAAAAAGGAAGAGGAGGCAAAGGCTGATGAAGAGGCTGACCCACAAGAAGCTGGTGCCAGTCCAGAGAAGGAGCAAAAAGCTGATAAGAAACTCCTCAAGGGCCTGGGTGAGCAATCTGCCTTTCTTCTGTTCGTTTGATAAACAGAGGAAACGTCTTGAGATTAAACAGACAAACTAAAAGTCTAAACCTCACAAAGAGAATTTTCATTTTGCTCAGCATCATAAAACATCCCCTAGTATTGCCAAATCAGTCAATAATTGGTCAAGAAATTTGACTTTGAAACACATTCTTTGAAATAGGTGCCATTTTAAGGTTGACAACCACATAAATAATAAATTACAATGTGCCACATCAAGTTAATCAAAAAATACAGCAAAAAAAGTCATTTAAAATAACTGTTTTCTATTTAAACATATTTCAAAAAGAATTCCAGTGATGACAAAGCTGAATTTTCAGCAGCCAATAATCCAGTCTTCATTGTCATGTGAACCTTCAGAAATCATTCTAAAAGACAACCATAAGGTTTGGAATGACAAGAGAGTGAATAAATAATGACAGCGTTTTCATTTTTGGATGAACTATCCCCTTTAGGCTGAGTATACAACTTGTGCCTTGTTTGCTTCTCTCAACAAATTTATCGTAGTAAACACTATCACGCTGTGATTTCACCACTTCTCCCGTTGATTTATTTTGAAGCTTGCATGCAGAACTCTCCGTTCTCCCTTGTGGGCTTCCGCTCATCTTCTTTATCTTCTCTTTCTCTGATCTGAACGGAAAACGCTTGTCTCGTAGGTAAAGAGGCCGCATCCTTATTGCAAAGCCTGAACAAGCTCGCCTCACCAGAAGAGAAAGTGGAAATGGTGTTGAAGAAATACACTGAGTTGGTGAGTATCCAGACCCATGAGAGAACGCCGCTCTCTGAACAGTTTTCACCGCCGACAACAACAATGCATGGAGGACAGTTAAGAGGAAACAAATAGAACGCAAACTGGATTGACACGGAGAGAAAATAAAAGAACGCCTGGTGTGATGTTAAGAGTGGTTTCACTGATACTGCGATGACCTAAATATTCAATGCTCTGGGCTGAATATGCGAGTCTGAACACAAGGCCATATGCCACACAAGAAAGCCACAACACTCTCTTCAATTTGAGAACACAAAGATAATGACAGGGACACGTAGAAAAGAACATATGATGGAAGACTACGAGTAATTCTCCCAGTTTTGACATAACCAGATCTTGTTCTCAGAAATAAACAAAGGGCCCGTCATTCCAAAATCCTCTTGAGGACAACCAGACAGACATTATCTAAAGCAGCTTTAGACCAGCCAGAGGTGTTAAAGCCGTGTATAAGAGGATGTACGGATCACACATGTGTGTGTTTTGTGCATATGGGGCAGGTGGAGGAACACAGGACTGAGAAGAAACAGCTGGAGCAGCTTCAGCAGAGACAGGGTCTTCTGGGCAAGCAGAGAGATCAGCTTCAGTTCGAGCACAGTCGAGCCATTCTGGCCCGCAGCAAGCTGGAGATGCTCTGCAGGGAGCTTCAGAGACATAACAGGACACTGAAGGTGAGAACATGATCTGCTGACAGTTTTAAGAGAATTGAGTTGTGAAAGAAAAGTCAAGCTATGGTATATCTTGGTAGGTTTATTTTTGTGTATGTTTTTATGTATTTATGAAAAGAAACATACATTATTTTGTCTGAATTCATTCTGTTTTTAAAATAATTATGCCTATTTTTTTATGCCATTCAAATGTTTGGGGTCAGTTAAGGGGCCAGCTGTTCTTTTAAAATTTCTATTCATCAAAAAATCTTGAAAAAAATCATGGCTTCCACAAAAATATTATAATTTCAACTTTGAAAATAATAATAAATGTTTTATGAGCACCAAATAAGCGTATTTCAGTAACACTTAAAACTGGAGTAAATTACATTTATAAAAATGACATATTAAAATTGTAATCATATTTCACAATTGTATTATTTTTACTGTATTTGTAATCAAATTAATGTAGCCTTTGAAAGCATACGAGACCTCTTTCAAACACATCAAAAAATATTACTGACCCCAGTCTTTTGAACAGTAGTCTGATAACGCAAATAAAAATGCTAAACTACAACAAAAAATTTCATTAAAAATTCACAGCTGCATAATTAAATATACTCTTTAAACCTTTAGGGTTTTTTTAATAACATTATTTTATATATTTTAGTATGTTTTTTTATATATAGGCTCTGTTGGGTAAATTAGTTGACCACAAAAGCAAACTGTTGCAGTTTTTCAAAAATAATAATAATACTCTTTATTCAGTTGCTTTATAATAATACTCAATTGGCCAGTATACTCAATACTCAACACTTCAATTGTCTCATATTTGCATAAGATTATACTGTATTTATGGGGGATGTTGCTATTTTTCTATCACTAAACAAACAAAAAAAGAGTATTATAGGTCAAATGCTTACTTGAAATATTGCTAAATATGAGACAAGAACCACTTAGAAAGAATAACTTGTAAAAACGATCAGTGTTTTGTTTTTATGTGCCATTTAGGGGTACATTTATCTGAAATCGATACAGTAAGACCACAATAACAGACCGTAACTTGTTTGACATGTGGGAGAGTGTTGAGCATCTGACTTGTTTTCCTGTTATCCTGTTACCTGTGTCAGTGTTTTGATTGCTGAGACTGAGTCGACTCAACTTCCTTCTGAGGAGACAGCGTCTTAGAGCCCAGTGGGACGTTACTGCAGTGACTCTGTGTCTCTGCCTCGATGAGACACTGACTTCTCAGACTCAAAGTGCTGCTGACAGGTCACTATGACAAGAGGGATAGCGTTACTGAGCTTCAGTGGCATTTGCCCTTCTTTTATAAATCGAACGTCAAAGAGAATGTCTCACTGGCTCAAATCACTGCAGAGGCCATGGCCTCCTGTTCTTCCATTCTGTTGGTGCTACAGTGACTACATCTACATCTCAGAGAGAGTTTTTTATATTTTCTGTGCTAATTTTGAGGTGAAATCTGCTGAATTCTGCATAATGGATTTAATAGTGCAACTCCTTAAAAAGATTTAATATTGTTTGAGTGTGAACCGAAGAACGAGTGATAGTTTTAACAGATCTTGGGTCAGTTTTATAATGTAAGTTCATTTTTAATAAATGTAATGTATTTTAATATGCGTGAGTAATACAAAAGGGTGAACAATATTTAATTGCTACCTAGTTTGCCAAGCCCCGCCCAATAACACATATGCATTACACATTCATAAATAAAATAACACAAATTTGACGGAACGTCATATTTAATAGTGTTTAATTATTTGGTTATATTTAATAGATACTCTTTGTGAAAACATTTACAAGTGATTTGTAAAAGGTGTCATTATACATATTCAGGATTAGTTTTCATTGCAATTACACCCTTTTGACCAGCAGGTGCCACCATCCTGTGGTGTTTTGAGAGCATCGAAACAGTGAATCATTTTGCAAAGGCAAATTATTCAGGGTTTCAAAAAGCTTTGTTTCTCCCATCACTACCTTCACCATTCACGTTCACGCTATGTGTTTGATTCAATAAAAAGAATAGACTCATAAGAGTCATTAACAAGGGAATCTGTATTTTTTTTATTCTTTAAAAGATCCGGTTCATTAGAGCTTGGGAATCAGACTTCACTGATCGTGCTGTATGTTTTTGATTCATGTAAAACGGTTCTGAATATTAAAAACTGCAACCTAATTTGTGAATGCCTCTCTCAACTGAGATGCCATATTTATCATTTTACAAAACTGTTATTCAGCACTTGAAATGTTTCCAGTTGTCAGATATAGCAGTCCACTCATTTCTTTCACTCTGCCAACTAATTATGTTGCCTTCCAAGAAACAATTTCACCTCCATTTGGTGAATGTGTATATAATATGAAAGATGTTATGAATCTTGTGCAAAGCACCTGGAGCCATTTTCTCTTTGCAGTTCAGCAACTGATTTCAGTCCATTTGTACTATTCAACGAAAAGGTGCTGGAGGACATTGTATAAGAAAAGGTAGTGGTTTTTGTCCCAGCATCCACACACACACACACACACACACACACACACTTTTTTTCTGTTTTTGTGGTCTGTAAGGTGACTCAGAGGAGCTTTCGAATCATGTTTGTGTTGTTTTTTCTCCTCCGGGCATGGAAGATATGAAACTCTTGCTCTAATATGAACTCTGCATGCCTTTGGAAGTTGATGCTATCCTTCCCTAGAGGCTGGCTTTGACCTTGTTCACTCCCCAGTCAATTTTATTCAAGTATTATGGAAGCCATTAATGAGCGGGTCAGAGAAGAACATCTAAGCCCTGTGTGTAGGTGCAACTCTCAGCTATGAGGACCGTACATTAGATTTAATCTGGGGTCATTTCCTTTGCGCTTATGTGAGTGATTCACCTCCCTGATGAGTTTGCGTAGTGGTAATACAGCTTCACCTTTCCCAGGTGGGAGCTTGAGACTCATGCCATGTGTAAACACAGGCAGGCAAACGGATTCAGCCCTGGAGAGGAACACTCCATGTGTGGATTCCTTACGAATGGCTGAGTCAGGAAGCTGGCGCTTCTGAAACAAGAGCTCATGTTTACAAAGCGCACACATTGGATGGCAGGCCTGTTTAACATTCACACGTCCAATCCCAGATACTAAAAAAGGATAATATTGTTTATTTAGTGCCACAAATATAGATCTCATATAGCTTAATATGTCATTAACATCATTAGCTAGCCTTCACCACTCAGACCTTGTAAGGTAGAAATAGTGCAGTTAAAGTAGTGGTTAGTGCACCTGCTTTGGACATGTTGAGCTATGGTGCTCATGTGGGCCACTCAGGTTCGAGTCTGGCCTATAACATGTCCATTCCCTCTCTCTTCTCAACTTCCTTTCACTTTTCACTATATAAAATAAAAGCCCCTTCCAAAAGGTTGTTCCGTACTGACATACTACTTTTATTAAAAATAATACATTTAATTTTTTTTAAACGAAGGTTGCATTACAACTCTCTTGTAAACTTTGTTACTTCTCAAATGCCTTTTTATATATTTTATGTTAAATAATCCCAGACACAGACATCCAATCTGTGTTAATATGAAAATACAAAAATCCATCATGAAAATATTATATTATATTTAATATCTTATATTTTTTAGAATGATCATAATCTAAAAATAAGTGAAAAACATAAACCATTGTGCATTTATCAATCATTTCCACACAATAAATAATGAAAATGTACATTTTTATTCATTTGTAACATATGTAGATTAGTTACAGTAATTTCCACCACATTAAATAATTTTGCCACTAATAAAGTTTAATTTAAAAAATTTGCATGTTTATCAACCAGTTATTTAATGCTATTTCCATGCTATTATAGTATTTATTCATATTTTGAATTTTCATAAAAATATAATATGTTTTTATTGGTTTCTATTGGTTTAAATTTAATGTTTATATTGGTTCTTAATATTTATATTTATTTAGATTTAATGCATTTTATATCAGTTTTAGTTTTAGTCATTTTAGTACTTCAACTTAGATTAGCTTATTTCTAATTTTCGTTTAAGTGTTTTTAAGTTTAGGTTTTTCATCTAATATTTATATTATTTGAGATTTATTTTAATTAACAAAATTTTTTTTAAATAGTGACAACACTGTTAGCATGACTAAGATGAAATATGTAGTTATGAATGAAGCAACAACCAAAAACAAATCATGGTGAATATCACTTGTGTTCAATCCAGATGTCAAATACAAACTTTTATATAACTGTTTGTATTTAGGCTATATAAAATGCAAACTATGAAATAAGCTTTAGTAAGAGTTGGCCGTTTTATTCCACACATGTTTCAAATATAATTTCCATCACTGTCATTTCTTCTACAGAATGCTATTTAAATACAATACATTATTTGACTTTACCATCTAGTCACAGCTCCATCTCACACCCTCACGTAATACTAGATCTAGATTGCTTTCCTCACTTAAGACTGCACATTCCCAGATTTCCCACTCGTTTCCTTCTCTCTTTTTCCCTGCAGGAGGAGAGTCTGCAAAGACTGCGGGAGGATGAAATGAATCGGAAGGAGATCACAGCTCATTTCCAGAGCACGCTGGTGGACATTCAGAATCAGATCGAGCAGCACAGTAACCGCAACAACAAGCTATGCCAAGAGAACAGTGATCTGGCCAGCAAACTCAAGACCATCATAGAGCAGTATGAGCGGAGAGAACAGGTACCGACAGAAATCAACACATTACATCAAACACACAAGACATATCAGTACACATACCATCTAGATTTGAAATGCATTAAATCCACACATAAGCAGAGCTACAGCAGGCCCACCTTTCACAGTGCTTCTGCTGCATAACAGAACTCTATATTTCCAGCTACACAGCACTGTGCTGTTTATGTGGGCAGTGTGAAGACTGTAACCTGTTAATGCGGGCCCTAAAATAAATATATGCTTGTGGTGTGAAGCAGACCGAAGACCTGTGCAACGAAAGCCAGCAAAATGAATTGAGTATTTCAAACACCCCAATATCTAACACATCTGTCAAAGCGATTCAGTCACAAATCCATTTAAAGCTGCACCCCGAGGCACAGTCGAGATTAGATTTTGGAGATTAGAAGTGTGCACCATAAGTGATTGTGATACATTTGATAATACATCCGATTTGATTTTTTTGTTCTGGTCCATCTGAAAAGTTTAATGAGCCATTACTGGGGTTCCAAACGTATTTCAAACTCTGCAATTACATTACAGTCAAAAATTCTGAATAATTAAGCCTTTTTTTAATGTCATATGAAGTCTCTTATGCTCACCAAGGCTACATTTATTTGATCAAAAATAGTAAAAACAGTAATTTTGTGAAATATTATTACAATTTAAAATAACTTTTGTCTATACGAGTATTTTTGATCAAGTGCAGCCTTAGTGAGCATAAGAGATTTTCAAAAACTTTACAAAATGATTCCAAATTTTTGACTGGTAGTTTACATGCGCAATTTTTACAGTCACTATGCATACAAACATATGCATGTTTTAGAGCTGCCAGAGCTGTAATTTCACAACACGAGGTGGAGGAAACTACACACTCACACTTTCTAAACCTGCTATATGCACAGCAGATACTTGTATTTTTTGACTTTGACTCAGTGATTCACGCCTGGTTTGACAGTGAATATTGCACCTTGTAGAACACTCTGTATTCTGTATCTAATCACATGAGGATCGACCGGTGGAATGACAAGCCTGATGTGTGGGGAAGTTAAACTCAATCTGTCATGCTGATGGCTACCACAGAGACTGCTCACACACTGCTGTGTGGTGGGCTAAATCAGACCCCAAGAATGTAACTGACTCGAGAATAAATTGTGCAGTGTGTCTCTACTGCCCTCTGCTGGCTGCGGTAGAGACACACACCATATGAGGGTGGTGCCTCATGCTTAATATGATTTACACAAGAACATGTTCCTGGAACAACATCCCTATTGACCAATCACCACCCTCTGATTTTAGGTGTAAAAGGATTGATGCGAAAGCTGTTCCAAGAACAACAAAGGATGTTGATCCTGGAACATGTTTTGCGTGTGGTGTATCAGAGACAAGCACACATTTTCAATGTTAAAATGTACTGCGTTAAATGTTGTTCCCAGAAATTACAAAAGCTGGAAAAGGAAACTACAAAAATAAAAGAAAAGAAAATCCAGCATCCCCATGACCCGAATTAGGACAAGTGGTTTGGACAATGGAATGGAATTAAAGAAATAAAATCTGCTATGACCCCATTGCGTCTAAATGAATATTCTGTATTTTTATGCAGAGTTTAGAGAAGATCTTCAAACACAGAGATCTACAGCAGAAACTGTCTGATGCCAAGCTGGAAGAAGCCAACATGCTCCTCAGTCAAGCTGAAGAGAAGCACAAAAGGGAGAAGGAATATGTAAGACACACAGATCTCCTATTCTGGCTCTTCAGATTTGCCTCAAGTAAAATGAAGGGCAGGCAAATTCATTTGCATGTTGCATGCTTACAATGAATTGAATTACAAGCAGGGTCTAAAATCAACAATCATCAAGTGCCAAAATGCAATTAATAACTGGCTTGTAAAAGAAACTGCAACATAATATATCAAGCTTTCAGACCTTTCCTGATAAGTGAAGTGATGAATGTGTCATTCAAATGAAGCTGTCAGCTAAAGAAAACATCTGGTGTGAATTGCAAGTCTTCTCAGTGAAATTTTCCATCAAACGTTTATCTTGGATCTTTGTTTTGTCCCTATAATTCCATGTGGCAACACATATGTGAAATATACCTCATAAAGGTATTGAAACAAAATTACAATATTTTTGTGATACAAAGTCACTTGCTCATCTCAAGTGACAAAATATCCAAAAAATAAGTTAAAAAAAAAAAAAAAGAAGTATAAATATTTTATAGCCTATATTAATAACTTAAATGTTCTCACAAGTGGCAAAAAGTTAATTTTGGACCCCTTTATAAAAATGTTTCAGTGAATCTTAAGAATTGGCACATGTTAACATCTCACCGTTTATGTTGTTAGTTGCTTAAAGAGGCTATTGAAAAAACAAAGAAATGCTACACAATGAGGGAGCAGGAGTTACAGATGAAGAAACAGGTAATACCGAGTTCTCGGTCTCTCTCACCTGTTTGTGTGTGTGTCTTGTGTTTAACCAGTTACTCACTCAGGCTGCAGAGTGGAAACTACAGGCTAAAGAGCTGAAAGAGCAGCACACTGTCATGCAGGCCCAGGTGAATATCTATCGCTGTGGCATTAGCCACAATCCAACACTCTCTCCTCTCTAGCTGTGGTATTTCTCTCGCTGAGCTGTGTGACAAACCACATACACCAATCAATCTTTAAAAGGCAATTTATGGTGATGATTCATAGCCATTAGGAGCAATTGCACTGTCTGGATACATTTCAGTTGAGATGGATAGATAAATTACAGACGGATGTTTATGAAAAGCAATAATGAGAGCTTTACAGTTCTGTGTAGACCATAATAAAGGACTTTTAAGTGCCTCAAGAAATAGTTTACCCAAAAATTTACTCACTGTGTGTGTAATTCATTTACTCACCCTCACGTCGTTCCAAACCTGTATGACTTTTTTCTTCAGTGGAACACAAAAGGAGAAATTCTGAAGAACATATTGATCGCTTTTTTCCTTTACAATAAATAAGGGCTGAGGTTTTCCAGCAACAAAAAAGACACAAAAACATCATAAAACTGGTGCATATTGAGAAACATTATTCTGTCTTAGAGCAGAGAAATCATGTAGATACTGGTTAATTCTTTAAGGAAATGAATGTGACAACATCTCACTGTCTCCGAATCAACAAAGATGATGAAGCTCTTGAATTTGGGTTAATTATGTTGATGGCTGAATGAAGGCTTCCCCTCTCTCATGGCTCTATTGTGACAACACAGACAGAAATATATCATTTCAGTGAATTATTATAGTTCACAAGCGTCACAAGTGCTGAACAGTAAATACGACCTGGATGAGTTTCACTGCTGCTATTATAAATAATAAGTGATGCCTTACACATTACACACTCATTGTCATTGCAGAAAGTGTTCACTTATTTAAAGCTTTGTGTTTTTGACTGGAACATTTGCCTTGACTAATTACAGATGGATTGGGTAAAGTGCAGCTGCAACATCAGCGATTAACTCTTTCATCTTTACATCAGGTCCATAATGTAAACAGAAGAATGAATAAGTAAATTAATGGATGTATGAATGAATAAAAACAAATAAATATTTAAATATTTATTTATCCGTTCATTAATGTATTAATTCACGCTTCATAAATAAATAAATACATACATACATGCATAGGAAAGAACAAATTTTGAACTTTTTTTTCTTTTTCCAAAATAATATCAATATATAAATATATAAAATTTAAAAGGAAGGCCAAGCTGATAAGTACAAATGTCATTGTCATCATGCATGTTTCTCTTACTGTACTCCAAGGTATTAATTTACAATGATTTTCTGAATGCTGCTAACACTAATTCTCTTCGTACAGATTGTGTTGTACTCCCAGAAGTTTGATGAGTTCCAGAACACACTAGCAAAAAGCAATGAAATTTACATCACTTTCAAACAGGAGATGGACAAGGTTTGTTTTGTTATGCACACTTTTACTGTCTAGAGCCAAATGTTAATAGGAAAAAAGTGTGAAAAACAACTTATTCGTTTTTTACTTGTATTCCAGTGAAAATATCTAAATGATAAATTTACTTGAGAAGCAACACTGCATAAGATATTAAGACTTTTTCTTCCAGAAAAAGTTTATTTAAAGGTGTATTTTGCACTGTCAGATTTTTCCACTTTATTTTAACTTGTTTATACTTAAACAAGAGACAAATCTGCCGATGCAATAAGATAAAATACACTCGTATTAATGCTACAATCTCTGAAAACAAGTCTTAATCTCTTATACATTATTGTTTCCAGTAAATGTGTCTTTCTTCAAGGATTTTTGGACATTTTCCCTGTAAAAATAGACAAAAACACTTTTGTTAAGAATAGGATTTTTTTTTTGCAGTGAACAATTTAAAATGCCTTTGTCTATTTTAAAGAATATAAGTCTTATGCTGATTACGTTTTTATTTGAACAGATGACAAAGAAGATGAAGAAGCTGGAAAAGGAGTCAAACATATGGAAGACACGGTTTGAAAGCTGCAATAAAGCTCTTGTTGAAATGATTGACGAGGTAATGTACACACATGACTTGTCAATATCTGATTATCATTAGCGTTTCACTTACTAACTGATTAACTCCACTCCAACAGAGATCAGAAAAGGCCAAAGAGTTTGAACTCTTCACTTTGAAAATTGACCGTCTAGAGACTCTGTGCCGAGCACTGCAGGATGAAAGAAAAAGTTTATATATCAAAATTAAAGAAATACGGTCCTCAGAAAAGGCAACTCTAGCACCTGCAGTGGATTTGCCCCAAGTAGATGAGCTTCCAGAGCTTGTCCAACTTCCTAAGTCAGCTCCCAACCCCATGTTGACCGCAGAGATGAAGAGGCTGCGAGAGGAGCAGATCCGTCTGCAGGAGTTTGCAGCTTCCTTGGTAAGTTCCATAACAGATGATGCTGGAGAATCTGATAGTGAGGAAGAGGAGATGGCACAAAAGATTCCAGCAAATCCTGAGGCTACCAAACTTGAATCCTCTGAACTAGCAGATAAACCAGAATCAATACAAGATGAACCCTCTACCACAGAAGAAAACAAACCAGAGGTTGTTAGTGTAAATGAAGAGAAGTCATTAGTACCCACAAATCCTGAACCCACCAAACCTGAGACGGAATCCAAACTTTCTCAAGAGCCTCTACAACCAGAGATCACTGAACAACAGACAGGAAAACAAGAGTCAGTCAAAGAGGAACCAAGCCAGGAAGAGGCGACAAAAGCAGAAGAGACAGTCGAACAGGAATCCACTCAGTCAAAGCCTGTCATGAAAGAAGAGTGCAAAGATGAAGCAGTTAAACCTGAGCTACCTGAACCAGAGCCTCCCAAACAACAGCCCCTCAAAGAGGAGCAGCCAAAACCTGTCATGAAAGAAGAGTGCAAAGTTGAAGCTGTAAAACCTGAGCTACCTGAACCAGAGCCTCCCAAACAACAGCCCCTCAAAGAGGAGCAGCCAAAACCTGTCATGAAAGAAGAGTGCAAAGTTGAAGCTGTAAAACCTGAGCTACCTGAACCAGAGCCTCCCAAACAACAGCCCCTCAAAGAGGAGCAGCCAAAACCTGTCATGAAAGAAGAGTGCAAATATGAAGCTGTTAAACCTGAGCTACCTGAACCAGAGCCTCCCAAACAACAGCCCCTCAAAGAGGAGCAGCCGAAGCCTGTCATAAAAGAGTGCAAACATGAAGCTGTCAAACCTGAGCTACCTAAACCAGAGCCTCTCAAACAAGAGCCCCTCAAACAGGAGCAGCCAAAGCCTGTCATGAAAGAAGAGTGCAAACTTGAAGCTGTTAAACCTGAGCTACCTGAACAAGAGCCTCCCAAACAAGAGCCCCTCAAACAGGAGCTGCCAAAGCCTGTCATGAAAGAAGAGTGCAAAGATGAAGCTGTTAAAACTGAGCTACCTGAACCAGAGCTGCCCAAACAAGAGCCCCTCAAAGAGGAGCACGTTGAGAAAGCTGCAGCTGCCTCTGAGGAACCCAAAGCACAGGCGACCAAACCTAAAGCCTCAAAATCCCAAGAGGCAAAAGCGAAGGCCGGCAAAGCCCAGCCTAAAAAACAAGGTTCAGCCAAGAAGAAAGGTTCTGCAAAGGGTCAGAATAAAAGCTAAGCCAAAATGTATTACCAAAGAAGTTTTTTTTTATAATTTCTAGATTAGATTGTTTGTGTAGTTAGACAAGTCTGGCTGTTGACAAGTTTAAAGACCAATTCACACTGCACTGACAGATGGCAATAAAAGGCAACGGACACATTCGTAAGGTTTTGTCTGATCAGTCTGTTACTCCTGTCAGCATCTGTTGGTGTTGGTCTGTGCTTGTTTTTGCCAACAGAATGTTGAATTAGCATTTATCGAGTCTTGGAACGTCTGAGAAGTGACGTAGACCTACTGTACTCGGTCGGCATTGGTCTGTGTCTGTCTGTGCAGTGTGAATTGGCCTTAAGTTAATACAGATGATGACAGACTGGTCGTAGGACACGTTCCTTTATGAAAGTTTATAAAGATACATTTTTAGCTTTATGAGTGTGATACTTTTTTCCTCTTGTAATACTTCTTAGTACCTTCAAATAAACATCTGTTCTTGACAATCTTACAAAATGTTCTCTTTCACAAAGACATTTGGTTATATGACTAATACAATTTAAATGTAAAGCACTGTGTGAAAAGCAGCTAAAAAATAGGTTTTCCAATGTTCTGGACGGTGCTACTTAAAGGGGTCATTGGATGCTACATGCACTTTTACAAGTTGTTTGAACTGAAATGTGTGTTGGCAGTGTGTGTACACAACCACCCTATAATGATAAAAATCCACCCAGTGTTTTTTTTTAATCTACTAAAATCTTTACCCCTTTCTCAAATCGAGCCGATCTCAGATGCCTGTCTGTGTGACATCACAAAAACAGGCCCCGCCCACGATAGTTTGATTGACAGTAGCGTTTCAGCACGGCATCTTACCTTAGACCCGCCCTGAGTGAGCTGTCATCAGTCCTCCAGTGTTTCACCGCCGCAGCAGATGTAGACAAGAATGACTCCTAAGCGATTGAGGTGTTCTGTTGGTGGATGTAATAATGAACGTAGCAGTCATCATTTACTCCCGACATCTGAGCCGCTGAAGATGCAGTGGATTACATTTGTTTTTGAAGGGAATGTGCCCCCAATCTACCTAAATGCGTCTATGTTCGCGTGAATCATTCGTGATCCAGCTTCACCTACAGAAGTGAGTATTTTTAAAGGTTAAAGGTTTTTTTAATGAATCTTTGCAAATCACCTTTCCTAATAATATGCTAATTAGCAAGTTTCACAATGAATGCAGCTAAAGTAAACAGTCTCTCTGAGAGCAGCTCGGAAGAGAGGGGCAGGGTCAGCAGAGCTCATTCCTCCTGTAGTGAATCCATGCGTTTTTGTAAGAAAAATATCCATATTTCAAAGGTAATAAACACTTTTCTCTCACTTCCGTTATCTGTCATATGCGAAAGCCGTTCCGGCGGATGACGAAGCACGTATGAGCAGCGCGCGCGCCTCTGAGATATGCTAGTCTCGCAAATTTGTTTGTAGGAGCAGAGGAGAGAAGTAAAGTTTCCTTACTTTAGCAATGGAAAACCAGTCTCCTCTTGGTTTATATCGAAATCCTCTGACATTTTTCTTTGCAAATCCTCGGTTTGTACTTCTAATTCATGACTGGCATTTTGTTTTGTTCTCTCTCCGCGTTCGTCACTAATCACGCAACGCCGACGTCTTACGTCATCCGCCGGAACGGCTTCCGCGTATGACAGATAACGGAAGTGAGAGAAAAGTGTTTATTATGTTTGAAATATGGATATTTTTCTTGCAAAAATGCATGGATTCACTACAGGAGGCATTTATTCACCCGCCGGAGCCGTGTGAGGCACTTTTTATTATGGATGTGCGCGCTTTATTTGACGACTTTTATTAGGCCTATATACACCATGCTATATGCCTAATAAAAAATAAATAACTTACACAAAGTTTAAACATAAAAAAGAACGAAAATCAGCAAAAACTGTGGAACCAAATAATTAGCACTGCCGCTGCGCTTGTCTTCTAGCTGTCTTCCGGTTTGTATTTCCACAGCGTGAAGGTAAGGTCGCACAAATTTGTGACCCTGGACCACAAAACCAGTCATAAGGGTCAATTTTTAAAAATTGAGATTTACCCATTATCTGAAAGCTTTATAAATAAGCTTTCCATTGATGTATGGTTTGTTAGGATATTTGGCAGAGATACTATTTGAAAATCTGGAGGGTGCAAAAAAATTGAGAAAATCGCCTTTAAAGTTGTCCAAATGAAGTCTTTAGCAATGCATATTACTAATGATAAAACATTTTTGATATATTTACGGTAGGAAATTTACAAAATATCTTAATGGAACATGATCTTTACTTAATATCCTAATGATTTTTGGCATAAAAGAAAAATTGATCATTTTGACCCATACAGTGTATTTTTGGCTATTGCTACAAATTTACCCGTGCTACTTATGACTTATGTCCAGGGTCACATTTATCCTATGAATGAACCTCTCATTTTAAAATCTTCCCGGTCTATTGATATTTGTTAAGATATCTGCCTCGAATGTTAGCTACAATGCACATCACATAACTTTCATTAACTCGGCAATAAGCAAATCCACTTCACCAGCTAATTACTCTTCAACACCGATGCTATATACCGCAAAAAACGGAAGTTCAAAGACAAAATTCTAAAGATGGCTGCGCACTTGCTTCTCTGACGCAAAATATCTATTAAATTAATATCACTTTTGCGAATAATATTCGGGAAAACAGCCCTTTTGCTTGTGTGATATTACTGATCATATATAATTATTATTAAAAAATATATACAGGGATATTTTTTTCATAACTTAAATTATAAGGGCATTATAACTGCATTATAAGCTTCATCACGCAGTAATTGCTTTTGGACTCTCAAGGTGGGTTTTTTTTTTTGTTTTTTCAAAATGAGTTATACACCATAATCTCAGCTCACACATCGTTAAAACAACAATTGTTATCGTAGATGATAAATATCGCACACTCCTAAAAACACACCTCTTCTCAATAAACCACACAATTTGAAGAATTATTCATACTGATAGCACAAATGCAGCAGGACAGGTTATGTGCTTAGGCTTAGAACAATTTGTGATTAACCCCAAATTACATTTTGGGCATCTTCTAATAAAAGGACTTTCAAAATAAGTTAGACTGATGATAAATTATGTTAACTGCTGGTCACTGGCATACAGTAACTCCTATTGCACACCATGATTTTTACTCAAGCATCAGTTGCCATGGAAACAGCCTAAAAAGGCAAGCAGCTTTCATGCTTATGCTGTTCAAAATAATTCAGTGTCTGTCTATACCTGCAAGTGAATATATATTGACCTGTATTTATATAGAAATGCTTTTACATAATTGTCCACTCTGGATTACAGAACCTGTACCTTGTACACATACTAAAGCATTGCAGGTCGAATAGAAATATAATTTGGATATATTTCAGTTGTACAGCATCCCTCCACATATACAAAGAAGCCGCCTTTGTCCTATTAAACACATACAAATACACAAGCAGACCCAAATACATTTGTTCTGTAGGAACAAACTACACTTTGTTTAAAATTGAAGATTCAGAGCAAGTCTGAGTTATACCTGCAGGCAGTCCTGGCTTCTAAAAGAATGTGAATTTATATCAGGAGCAGCAGTTATGGTAATGAGTGGGAATGTGAAAGCCAGCGGGTCTGTACTTAACTTGACTTTTAACCTGAAGCATAAAATATAAAGGCATTAAAAAATGCACACATTAAAAATAGTGTTCACTTAGCTTTGGGTAGACAACTGAGTACACTTTAGATCATCTGATCTTGAGTTACTGTATGTAGTAGTAATGTGTAGCTACTGTGTTTGGCTTTTGTAGAGATATAATCCTAGACATATATTTATAAGGCTTTAAAATTGTAATTTTTAGCAGACAAAATCATGGCCAACAAAAGTCCAGCAGATCTAATGGTCTGGTAAATGTTAACTGACATTTTATAGATGCTTATTGTATACATTTTTTAGGGATGCTTTATTATTAGACAATAACAACCATGCGGTAGTTACTGTTTCCACAAAAGTCCACATATTGTTCTAGTACATTTCAATTTTACCTAAAAATTTATTTATTTCTCTCACTCAATAAGCGTCTTTGTCTTCCAAGATTCACAAACCAAAGGTTGTCCACATGAGAGTGCCTCCTCATTTTAGCAAAGAAGCTGCTTCATCTGCAATAATGATGTTCATTGAGCATAGCTATTTGATATGGAAAACAGGAATTATGCAGACAGGCCCTGGGTGGGTGAGATTGAGATCAAAAAGATAACTGACCAAGCCATAGAATAATTAATAATTACTCTGTGAAAAAGAAGGATCCTTTTATGTATTTTATTGTTTTCTTGTTTTGTTTTGTTTTGTACAAAAGAGCAAATTTGGCATACAGAGATACATTCACTTGTCACAGTATTGTTGCTTTGTTTTTTAAATGCAAGCTCAAACATTTCAAGGATGGCGTCAGTATATACACAAAAGCACACCCTTTTTCTCTTAATAAAAGACACGCTCTTTGACGATCAGCATCGTATGCTTTGATTCTTTCTATTTTGTTCCTAAAGAGAACTAATTCCACACAAAGTGTCGACAAGAGCCCAAAATAAGTAATTCTATCAATAGAAAAAACAGGGAAAAATACTAGCATGCAAATGCAACTTTTGTCAATAAGCTTCGAGAACTTTGAACGAGGAGAATGGCTTTACAAAGTGATAGTCCAGATTGCCACAGTGAGGACACTGCTGTACATTGCTGTACTCAGAGAAATACTGCATGCCCACACGTACATCTATGACAGGTTTCCCACAATGCTTGCAGTTCAGCCGGGCCTAGGCAGACAGAGAGTGGTGGTGCATTTAAAACAGAACTTTGGTTTTATATATATATACATATATACACTATATATACATAGTGGAGATCAAAATTAGACTTACCGTTTCCTAAATTTCAAGGTCACTGCTTGGTTCCATTTAAAGTAGAAGGGCAGTTTTTTAAGCATATTTCATAAATGAATTTTATTCTGAAGCACAGTATAAAAAACTTATTGAGAATATAAGATTGCCGATGATAAAAATTAGATTTAAAAAAAAAATTTAAAAAATGTAGGGAACACTTACAGATACCTTCAAGTTATTGGTGTTAATCTGGTATATGGTGCCAATTTCCTATTTAACTGACAGCATTCCTGCAATATTCACTGAGATTGCACGATGGCGGGCTGCTCTAAGGTGACTGAAACCCTGCAACAGGACGTTGTACAGATGAAGGCCAAAGGGATGAACTTTTCAGCCACTGCATGAGAATTTTGTCATTCCAAATCTGTAATTTCTTGTTTAATTTATTTGGGTCTGATGGGAAACATTATGTTCCACGTCAAACTTGGGAAACACTGAATCCCAAGTGCGTAAAGAAGTCAGTGAAAGGTACAAAATGGGTAAAGCAGTTCCTTGAAGCCAAGAACACTGAAATAATAAAATGGCCCGCTCAAGAGTCCTGATCTAAACCCGATTAAAGATTTCTGGGAAATCCTTGGCAACAAAGTTATGGCTAAGAAACCCACTACAGTAAGTGAACCATGGAAGAGACTGGAAGAAGAGTGGACCAAGATCACACCAGCGCAGTGTGAGAATCTAGTGATGTCCTTGCAGCCGCAGATGTGCTGAAGTCACTCAAAGCAGGGGCCTCTACACACTTCCTACTAATTTCTGACAGCTGTAACCATCCAAAATTTTAGTTGTAATTTTCTTTCCGGCTACAATGGTTACTGTTCTCTAATTTTGTTCTAGTATTTATAGATTGTTCTCTAATTTTGATCTCCACTATAATATATATATCATTTAGTAATTTAGGAGCACAAACAAACTGATTACCTGGCAGCATGGTGATGCAGCCAGTATGTCATATGTGTACATTGTGCCCAGCTGGTGCCAGCTTCCATCCCACCTGGACTTGCACTTTATACACACGATTTTGTGCACTCCTTCCAGGCAGTCCACACAGATGGCATAAAGGTGCATCAACCTCCCTTTAGAACATAAACAGAAAACCCTTTTAAACTGCAATTAGACTCTAATGAATTCAAATATATTCTAATATGGATTGAATGATATGCCATGATCAAAGCATTATTATCTGTCACAGCTGCTTTGCTTCTTTATTAGAAGAAGAAAAGGGTTTGCTCGATTCCCAAACAACTCAAAGTAATTTATATTTTGGTACTTTGCTCAAAACTGCTTTAGTCTTAATGATACTTGAATTGTTTTTGCTATGGTAAAATTAATATCATGCACAGTTTATCAACTGACTCTGCTCAACGTTATTTAATAAAAATGGAAAAGCTGGGAATGGAAAAGTTTTTGCTGTTCTTGGTATTTTAGCAAAAAAGTCAACAAACTCTTTTCTAACCAGGGCAAAAGAGACTAGATGAAAAAAATGGCAATGTGAACCAATACCAAAAACAAGGTACTAACTGATATTTTTATTTTAGGTATATTGATAATATCACTACTGTAAATACATCAATACTAAACATTTGTTGAATCATTATTTTCATGTTATAGCTGCTAACCAAAAAAAAGGGAAATATTAAATTCTATACAATTTATTAACAAAAATGCTAAAAAAAAAAATGTAATTAATTATTTTAAATGCTACATTGTGAATTTAAGCATCACAACATTATAATGTACATTATGAAAATGGATATTCGTAATGAGATTAGTTTAAGATGACACTTGACAATGTTACTGAATTATTCGTGTTTTTAAAGATTAACTTTAAATGAATGTTAGAATATGACAAAAGTAATCGAAATGTTAAAAAATAAGAAATGAGCATGAACAATTAAATAACCAATACTGATAAAAAAAATTTTTTTAAATATATTGCCTAGCAAACAATTCTGAATCCCTAATTCTGTGCATCCCTAATTTATATTTTTACTCAATATTTTAAAAGTAAAAAAGGATGTCATAAAATTGATAGTGAAAAAATGTACACTCTAAATGCAGTCTAAGCTGCTTTATATAATAAGTGTCTGCCAAATGAAGAAATGTAAATGATTTGTCTTAAGAATTTATGATATTAAAGTGACTGAGTGTATTTCTACAGAACAAACTACACTGAGCAAGCTTAAATTAATACAACTGTCACGAATCCGGTCTATAAACTTCCATTCACTCACCACCAGAGGTCACCCACTCTCCACATGGACTCTCACACTACACAGACTGTTACACATCACCCTGGACTACATTTCCCATGCTCCATTGCACTAATCACAAGCTCACCTGAAACCAATCACACACAGCTGCTACCAATAACACACACTATATAAATCAGTCTCACACCATCACTCAACGCCGAGTATTGTCTGCGTTTATCGCTCTCCAAGTGATAGCACTTTACAGAGCCATTTCCCTGTCTTAGTTTCAAGTCTCAGTTCCTAGTCTCAGTCTAGTCTCATTGTGTTTCCTGGTTTCTGATTCTTGCCCGCGTATCTTTGATTTACCTTTTGCCTTGCCGTTTTGGACTGTGTTTGCCCCTCGCCTGGACTATTGCTCACGTTTACGGATTATCTGTCTTGTCAAGCCCTCTGGATAACGTTCGCTGTCGTCTGACTCAAGCCCGTTTTGGATTGCTCTTTTGTCTTGCCTGTGCCATACCTGTTTGCTGTTGTTCGACCCTGCCTGTGTTTTTTGACCATGTTTATTAATAAAAGCTTGCATATGGATCCGCACGCCTCTCGTCTCGTCGGCTCCGTTACAACAACAATGTTCAAACTTAAAATAATTCAGGAAGTTTGCATTAACTGAAACTTGTTTAAATTAATGAAAATTGAATTTAAACAGAACTTAAGTTCAAATTAACTCCTTAAAACTTGTGAGCTGAGAAATTTTATGGGACACTATTGTAGATGTTTATGGGACACTGATGTAAAATAACACTTTCCACACTAATATTAAAAAAAAAATATGAGAAGTAAATGAGAAACGGCTCATTCTGAGTGCGAATAGTGAATTCGCTCACCTTGTAAATGGCAAGGTACATCGTACTCAATTTCATCATGGCGTGAAGGGCTCAGGAACAGCGTTCCATCCACTAAAGGGAACTGCTCAAAGATGGGCAGGGTGTGATGGCAGAGGGCACAGTTCACCACATTGCGGTGACTCGCACTGAGCGCAGAGAGGATGAACTTCCTGAGATCCTCTCCCTGCCCGGCCTGGGCATCGTCCTCCATTCGCACATGATAGGTGTTAAGCTTGTGGCGGGGAATGTGCGCGAGCAGCTCAGAAAGATCCAGCCTCCTTAAGAACTGCACAGGGTTGTCTCCGGGAGAAAGCCGAGGGAGGCACATGTTAGCGGCTCCCTGCTCAAGTTGAGCCCCGCCACGTGCCACACCACCTCCGGACAGCAAATGCTTCCTGTGGCCTTCCGTATGAACCGCGTTCTTAAGAAACTCACCCAGGTGCCTCGAACTCCGCGGGCCACTGAGGGACTGGGGGAAAAAGGAGGAGAAGCCTGAAGGAGGGGACTGAGTGGGGGATTCGCAAGGGGACCGGAGCCCGTGGGAAACCCCGCCGACGGCATTGGGAGGACCAGCGTGACATCTCTCCTGAGAGTTCTGCCAATCTGCTGATTGTCTGTGAGACAGTTCCTGACTGGAGCCACGATGCGCTAGCTTATGGCTTGCAGATGATTTCCCTTTCTTAGGCTCATCGGCAGCTTCCAGACCACCTCCACCGCAAGCGCCACCTCCGGAGGCAGAACAGCTGGGCTTCCCGTTCCCTTTCTCCGGCAACTTTTTCTTGCGCTCGTCCTGCATGCGTTTCACCTGGTACCAGTCCGTGTCTTTTTTAAGGTGTCCCTGGCCGCAGCGGCAGGAGCAGAAACGGAAGGCCAGATCGTAGCCCTTTTTGGTCCACATGTTCTGTCGGCACTGCTTCTCGTTCCAGCTGCGGGCCCGGCCGATGCAGTTGAACTGTACCAGGATGCTGCTCTCCCACTCATAGAAGCACTGCAGGTGCATCCAATTGCTGTAAGGGCAGAGTTCACTGTTGCACACCACACGCTGGTAGTCGTCCTTCTCAAGGTCAATGGGACGGCCCAGACTGCACACTAATGGGGTGGCACATGGGGCCTCTGCCAAACACAGTGAAGATTATATTAATTTAGGTTTAATGCAATGCAATAGCTCACCTAAAAATGAAAATGATTTCATCATTTACTCACCCTCATATCGTTCCAAACCAGTATGACTTTCTTTATTCAGTGGAAAAGAAAAAGAGATGTTAAAGTGATTCACTTTCATTGTAGGTAAAAAGAAGATGCAATGAAAGTGAATGGTGACTTAGGCTGTTATTTTGCCTAATATCTTCTTTTGTGTCCCAGGAAAAAAATATGAGCTTGGAACAACATGAGCGTGAGGATTTATATTTCTGGGTTCCTATATGTTAAAATATCTGTAATGCCGTTTACAATGCCTTATATTGCTAAAAATATATATATATATTGTTATTTTACATGAGGTAAATGTTTTGTACGCTAATGTAAAAAATAATGACTGAATTAATAAATCAACCCAAAAAACATTTGAATAAAGCAAACCTTCACCAAATTCATGAACGAACATCTATTTATAGACTGTGTGATTCAATCAGCTTCACTGGCAGTATGTTCAATGTCAGTACATTCAATACAAAACTTTTTATTTATGATAACTCTGTGGATGCAAATCCCACTCAAATAGAACAAATATTACGCAACACTGCTATGAATGAAGTCTGAATGTGTGTCTCATGAGAGACAGAGAAAGACAATTATACAACAGAGCTTCATTCCTCAAATTTGATTGGACAGCGCTGCTTTTTCTTTTTTAATTCTGTTTGTTCACTACCTTTCAATCCAGACTATGTAAGTATGGAGTGACAGAACTGTGTCCATGTGTTTTCTCTGGAAGACACCGAAGCAAAGTTGTATAAATTCGGCTGCAGCAACAAACATGCTTCTGTTTTCTCAATAATCGCTCTGACTGGGTTTCTCTCACAAGTTAAAATGAAAACATGGAGTGGAGTCAGGTGATTAAAGCACGTTTTGAACGCATTTAGGAACAGCCCTGTAGCTCCGCTCCATTCATAAAAGCGGTTGCAGTCCAGATTGCAGCATATGCATCATTTAATAACCTGCAAAAAGTTTTCTGAACTATTTTTTGTTCGTACAATTTGCCTAAAACCTATTTGCTATCTGTCAAAAAATAGCCTAGTAATAAAAAATAATAAAATAAACATCATGCTGTAGTACTGAATATAAAGGGGCCGTGATATTCAACAGCCCTTGCTGTAAATATTTCATTATTCATAACTGCCACTCAAAGATAGATACCACTACCATTCTCTCAAGCGCCAACGCGATTCTATGCATTTTTAAACACTCTTAACTGCACATCATTAGGGTGATATGACCTGCCATTACACAACATATACACAACACTGATCCCCAAGTCGCATGCAACTCTATTCCAAGTGCATCTTCCCTTGAACAAGGCCTAAGCAACCACCTTGTGCAGGACGATAAGTGAAAACACGGAAAGCTCCAGGCAATGTCCTAACAATTCTGATGGTGATGACACGCGCACAAAACAAGTTGCTGCAAGCGAAGGAACATTAAAAGGAAGGTAACGTTCAGAGAAACGTACCATTTGGTAGAACGTTCACTGAAGTGACGTTCTTACCACTTCTATTGTCGCTCGGCGGACCCGCTGTCGCTCCAATCAACACCGTGGCAATTCCTCCTGTAACCGCAGACGCAGAGGCTCCATTTTCTTGCTCGTCCCCGCTACTGTTCGTGCGTTTATTTCTCTTCCCCTTGTTACTTTTTTGGTTGGGCATAATGGTGTGCTCAGTATGAATGCAGCCTGTCAGCGACCGCCACCGAGCATTTCTGCGGATATCATGTCGAGGGTGCTTGGCGAATTCACTGCGAACTGTAATGCACGGGGGATGCAGATGTTACAGTTCGAACATCATCATCCTCCAGATGTGCGCAGGCAATCTTGACAGCAGAGGTACACCATGAGGAAGGCGAGTCCCTCTCTTGTTTTGATTCCTGCTCTGAAGAGAGAATGTTCCTCTGGCCCCGCCTCCATCTCTGATCCAGACCTAGAGCTCAGTTATTAATAGCACAGACCTAAGAGGGAGTCCCGAGCAAATAATCGACACACTGCTAAAATTATTAAAGTCATAAGTGCTTTGCCATATATGGCTTTACAAGTGATAAACATGCTTTTGGAGTTGTTATCTAACGAGATAAAACCTTATGTTTGCTGTTCGACATGATATTCTTAAAAATCAAGGGTCTAATTAAAACTTAAAATGGTTTTTCCAGCTAAATTTCATTGGAGAATATTTTTAGATTAGAGAACCATTATGTGCTTTAAATAATCCAGAAATGGTTCTTCACAGCTGTATCACCTGGAACCTTGTAAGGTATACTAAAGAAGTACTCTATCCAGTCACTTTAGGTGCAAATGCCTTTCAAAAATTGAAAATCAAATCTCTAAATGTCCATTTTAACTATGCTCATTGATTCAAAGATAAAAAGTCAGAAATGTGAAATACAAGTCTTAACTCCAGTTCATGCATTTATATGACAGAGTTTATTGCACTTTAAAATAAACTGTCTCCAGCCATTTGAGAAGCAGATGAACCATCATAAGACTAAGGCAGCAACGTAGAAATCCAAATACACACTAAGGTTAAAGTCAGTTTTAAATGTTCATACATTTATCATTAAAAAATACAATAAAATAACAATTCCAAGTTTATTCTGCAGTCATTCTGGCATAATCCTCATAATGACGAGTAGAAATTTATAAACACACTCCCCTCTATTTAATTAATTTATTTCCTATTGCTAGTCATGCTAAGGTCTTCCTGAGCTTGAAATGACACAAACTGCACCATTGGGAGTCCTACAACATTATACATAAATAACAAGAACAGCACAAGTACAATGTGGAGATGTTTTTGCAAGAGCTTTATAAAACAGAATATCACACGGAGCAGTTCTGATGATTTGTTGAACTTGGTTGTTTTTTTAAACATTTAATTCCAGAAAATCATACAGCAGATAAATGCTACCATTTATGTTTCTCAGCATTTGAGATAAAATGGCACAGATAACTTCATTGACTATGCCTGAAATTAATCATCTCACAGTAATGGCACTGCAAAGAAACAACCTCATGATTACTGTAGACAGCAATTATGCAGTCTACAATCAATACAGTCAGAATAGGACATCAGAGGTACAGTATAATCTGTAAAATTGATATTAACCCATGTGGATATTCATTTCAAATAGGTTGAAAACAATGTTTGATGAATTTATTCAGTTCCAGAAAACCAATAACATGATCATGCACACTATAACTGTTATGATATTTTAATGATATGGCTGTTGAGGTGTTTAAACAGGGAAGATTGCTACTTTTCAAAAACTTTGTGCAGATCACTCCCCTGAGAGAGAGAAAGTTGCTGTATAAAAATATTCCAATCCAGTATACAAAAATGTTACATTCTCAAGTATATTTCTATATCAAAATGTAGCAATGACATGTCAAAAACACATCTGCACTTTTTACTTGAGTTTAGAGAAGACTGTTAAATTCAGTCCCGCAGTAATATGACATCAACGTTGTCGTGAACTCCTTGCAGTAAGAGCTCCCCTTCGAACGCGATGAGCTTCTTTCGCTTGGCCGCTTTCAGCGTTCCGACCAGAGCTTCAAAGAGGTTGGCGCACTGGTCATCATTAAACAAGACTCCAAATTTGACGCTGATCTTCCCATCTGCGTCTGTGAGACAGCGAGAGTGGTCAAGGCTCACTCTAAATCATTCATTAACAACCCTGAACGTATCCAATTAACATTTGTGTACTTAATAAAGCACTAAAACAACATAGAATCAGTGTTAGCATATCTCAAAAGATCTCAGAGAGCCAAATACCACAATGACACCTGCATTTGTATGTCAACTAATAGAAACTAAATGACTAAAGACTGGAGTTATGACTGCTGAAAATTCAGCTTTGCCATCGCAGGAATAAATTACAGTTTAAAATATATTAAACTAGAAAACAGTTATTTTAAATGTGAATAATATTTACAATAATTTGATCGAATAAATGCAGCCTTGGTGAGAATAAAATACTTCTTTCAAAAACATTGAAAAAAAAATCTTAATTAGATAGTGTATAAGATGCAGAAATTAATTAATAGAAAAGCAGATCATACCATACCATACCATATAATTTCCGATTCAACATTTCACTCAAATTTTAATATCATAATTTGGAATAGGGAAAACGGGTAAAAAGAAGCATTTTCACTCGTGGTCTCAGACTTTATCCCTTAACAATGATGTTGATCAAAAACTGCACAAGACTTACTTTTACTGCCCAATCGACGAATCTCATCAACGAGCAGTGTAACTTCATGTTCCACATTCATTTTTTGTCACTGAAAGTATACATGCATGTTAATATTTTAACTTAGTCTATTTTACTGTATTCAGTCATTGAAAGACTTTAGGACAGGGCTGTCCAAACGCGGTCCTGGAGGTTTTAGCCCTGACAGCCCTGCTTTAGGATATACCAGGGGTGCCCAAACTCGGTCCTGGAGGGCCGGTGTCCTGAAGAGTTTAGCTCCAACCCCAATTAAAC